GAAGCGCCTGGGCCGTGGCGTTCACGGTTGAGGAGCTGAAGGCTGCCGGCGTCAACCTCGTGTCGCCCCGACGATTGGCATTCGCGTGGATCGCGCCGGAAGAACAAGAGCGAGGAGGGAATGAGCGTTAACATCCAGCGCCTGAAGACGTACATGAGCAAGCTGGTGCTCTTCCCGGTGAGCTCCAAGAGCGTGCGGAAGGGCGAGGCGACCGAGGAGGAGGTGAAGGCCGCCGCTCAGGACCGCACGCGCTTTGGCACGGCGGCCGTGGGTGGTCTTGTGACGCCCGCCCCCGAGTCCGCGCGCAGGCTGACCGAGGAGGAGCGCACGAAGAACGTGTACAAGTTCCTCAAGAAGAACCACAGCGCGGTCCGCTTCTTTGGTGCTCGCAAGGCGCGCGCGGCGCGAAAGGAGGCCAAGGAGAACGAGAAGAAGTAAGGCGTGCAAGCTCATTTTGTTTTCTCTTTTTTGGTTTGAATTCTTTATCGCTACCCTGCGGTAGCCGCCTTACTGGCCAACACCGGGCGCTTCCTCCAGAAGCTGCCAAAACAGTTGTTGGTTTCAATGGGTCTGCGCACCTTGTTGATGGTGTTGTGGGGGAACTCCTTTCTTGCGTTGCGTGTTTGCTATTTTTTTTATTTTTTATTTTTATTTTTTTCTGCTCTTATCCATCGGCCGTTGTTCGTGTTCCTGCGCAGGGAATAGAAGAAAACGCTCTCGCACTCACACAGCGACGCGAAAGAGAAATAAACGCACACCACTGTCACTCACACCCGCGGAAAGTAATACTGAGGGGTGGGTGACTGCGTTAGAGGAGGGTTTGGCGCTGCATTGCGACCCGGCGAAGAATGTCGAGGAGCCGCTTTGCCCATTTGCGCATCGCCGACAGCGACTCCGACTCGGAGGATGCGCAGACCAACAGGCACCCCAGCGCGGTTCCCCTCTTCGACATCACACTGAAGCCCAAGGTGGACGCTTCTGGGCGTTGAATTCGGCGGCGCCCGCTGCTGCTTCTTCGGTTCCTTTTGCTGCCGGGGTGAGAGGAGGCGCTGCCATTGCGACGGCGCCAGCTGAAGAACAAGTAAGTTCCCCTCCTCATCCACCGATAGCAGACTTTACCAGTGCCCCTCATTCGGTAAAAGGGCCTTCCTCGCTCCCTTCAAACCCCGAGAAGAGTGACCCGGCAAGGAGACCCAGCAGCAATGCGGCTACTGCCACCGCGAAGGCTTCGGCGCCCAGTTCAGAGCGAGGAGGCGTCCAACGGAATCTGCGGGGTGAATCGTTAAATGTGCCTGCGGTTGTTCCTCTTGCTTCCACACCAGCTTCCGTCTCTGAGAAAATTGTGAAGGAGGCACGCGTGGAGGAGAAGGCACCACCGGAAATTTCCGTAAAATCACCACAGGAGCCACAGGCAAGGGCAGCAATGACCGAAGAAAGGGGAAGGAGGGCTGAGGCGGGTTCCAAGACGGCACCGGCGGAGGAACCACAAAGGGCCGCAATTGGCGGTAGAGAAAAAGGGGAGTTTCGGGATGCAGCAGCTGGTAGTGCAAAGCCCGCAGCCCCCACAACAGCCGTTGGCCCCGAAGACGCGGCGGTGAGGCGCGTCCTGGAAGAAAAGTATTGGGAAAAAACCCACGGGTTTGACCCGTCTAAGCGAGGGATGCCGCTCTTTTTGGCCCTAGAGCATAGTCCCTCTAAGTCCGCACCGATGCGGTCTAAGCCACCGGAGCGCGGCGTGTTGAAGGCCGAAGCCGGGGCGGTAAGCGCGTTGGAACCTCCACAAGGCGAACCTGAACAGAAGTCTCTGGAATCGGCAAGCGAGAAAAAGTTGCTTGACGAAGAATTGGCAATGGCTTCCCATCACGATTGGCTCCCTAAGGAAGAAACGGTGGGGATTGAAGAGCCAGCGATTACTATGCCTAGCGTGGCTCCTGTGAAGGATGAGGGCCCAGGGGGCTCGCAGAGCATTGCTCAGGCGAGCCAAAGTGGCGAGGCTCACCAAAGACGCATACAGCACATGGGTAACGCCTCTGGAGGAGCAGGTGAAGGAAAAGAGTCCAATGCCTCCGACAAGGTTGCCGTGCCGGAAGAAGCGCCTAGCGAGAAGCAAAAGACGGCAACTCACTCTGAAAGTGAAGTGGAGGCCAATGTGGGGGGAAAGCAAACTCTTTATACGGAAGGAAATCAACCCTTTCTTTCCGAACCAATCGAAGAAGCTCAAGGATTTCCCTCAACTACTAAAAGTGGCCTCAAATCACCATGCAACATACACGCAAGTGAGTACGCCGACAGCGTGAATATGTACCAAAGCAATCAGGGGAGCGTCAGGAGCAACATGAGTCATTCTATCACGGGCAGCAGGCATAGGGGGAATACAGAAGGTGCTATTCACGGCGATGAAGCTTGGGCCAAGCAAGCGCTGCCCATGAATGGTGAGGTCAGGCGGGGCTCTCTGACGGGGAGGCTTGAAACCCACGCACTGGAAGGAGGTGCAGCGCCGGAAGGTAATGAGCCTCCTATCACGAGCGAGGGACCACCGCACACGTCGGAACTAACCGCCGAGGTCCTGCGAAATTACTTCTCAAACAACTTTGCAGTGACAAGTGGGGGAGAACGCGCTGAGGGTGTGGAATACACGGATTCCTCTCTGTATAAGACGTGCCTGTCCGCAGGGACGAACGATGGGGGCAGCCTGCGGGGGAGAAGAAAGCTGCCTAAGCGTTATGCGGCGCCTAACTGCAGCGGAATGGTCTCCTCAACGAGGCCAGACCCGGTAATTCCACCGTTTCACAGACGTCTCCTTTTGGATATGGAGGAGAAGATGGATAGAGAGAAGAGAACCCTGGAGCATTCGCTGAACGAATACACTTTTCACCCCCAAACCGCTGCTGTGCCGCACGGACGGTTACCCCAAAGGCGACATAAACCAACAAACGCAGGTGGTTTGTCGGAATCGCCGCATCAGAGTTCTCCTGCAATATCACAAAGTTTACCGTCGCGACGCATAGTCATGGAGGATCCCTTGCCGACATTTACACCGGAGATTTCCAAATTTGCAAGAGAGGCACCGCGGTCTAATTTGCCTTACCATGAACGCCTGTACACGCCAAAGGCCGCCTTGCCTCGGGCGGGGACAGCTGGCGTTTCAAAAGGTCATTCCCTGGATCTCTCGCCGCGCATGCTGGAGTTAATCGATAATTCAACGCCGCCACTGTTTCATCCGACCATTTCTCCCTTGGCCATGTCTATTGAGAATGGTGCCCCGTTTCATGAGCGCCTCTACCAAACGAAAGAGGAGATGGAGCGACGTCGCAGCGGCGGCGCTCCTGTACAGTCACCCACAGTCTCCCCCCGTCGATCACCACGAAATATCAAGTTGTCTCCGCGTCTTTTGCAGCGTCCTCCGCCGCCGCCGGAGACGCTCCCGTACTCGTTTCATCCGGAGATTTCACCACGTGCAAGGTCTATGGAGGCCAACGCCCCTGTTCATCAGCGGCTCTACCCCACAAAGGAGGAAAGATCGGCGGTCTTAGAACGACAACAAAAGAAATTTGATGAGTTTTTGGCCTCCTTTCAGCCTTCCATCACGGACCGTGGCAGCCGTGCATACGAGGGTTCTGGTGTGGTGCGACGAAATGTCGTTAGGCGTCTGACGGAACCAAGGGAGCAACCTCAGCAGTTTGTTGACCCGGCCCTCACTTTTCACCCCTTTATCACGCAGAAAGCAAGAGATTTGAAAACTGGGAATTTGGCGGCATCATCGTGGCGGTTTGGCGATTCGAATGAGTGAGCGCAGTAGTGTGTCCTGTATTTTTCTGAAATATGTATATTTTCGGGGGAGTGCGTGTACTTTCATTGCTTTGACCATTGCTTTTATTTATGCATTCGGAATTCATTTCCCTCCCCTCCCAGAAAGAAACGGAGAAAAACGCATTCCTCACTCATACGTCCAACGAAGAAGGAAACTTAAGCAAAAAAAAATGCAAAACAAAACACAGTTATTTTTGCGAGTAATGGCGACTGTCTCTTCTGTTTGTGTTGCCATGTGCGAGCTTACTTTTTACAGCTACGTGACTTCATTTTGTGATTTATTTATCTGTTGCTTCTCCTTTTACCTTCTTTATTATGTACCTTATTTTTACCATCGCAGGAGAAAAGGTGGCCTGAGAGGACGGCCCCTCGGCGCCACTGTGTGGAGCTGTGTAATCACGTATATTTGGGGCTTGCGCAGAGCCAATGAAGCAATTTCAAGAGTGTGAAGGCTGCGACGAGGGTGATGTTGAGTTAGCTAACTGCATTGAGTGTGGGCGCCGTCTGTGCCGTCTGTGTTTGAGCTGCGCTGGGCAGTGTGCCGATTGTGCAGCAAAGGCTAAACACTCGGCTCTGGAGTGTGCCTTATGCAGGAATAGGGAAAAGGAGCTTTGCTGCTGTGCCGTATGCCACTCCATGTTCTGTGGGGCGTGTGTACTTCAGCCGTATAGGAATCGTCCCACCACCTTTCTCTGCAGGGGCTGTCAGGCGTCATCCTCACTGGCGGGAGCGGTGACGGTGTGTGGCAGATGTAACGAGACGATACGAGACGAAAGCAAACTGTATTACTGCGAGCTGTGTGCACACCCGCTATGCCGCGATTGCCTTCCTGCCGCCTTTGAGTGTGGTGTGTTGAAGTGTCAGACGTGTTGTCCGTCCCCTGTCCGGCTAGTGAGCAAAGACAGGCATGCTCGAACGCTTTTAAGCGATGAGCTGAGCTCCTTGATAGCTTCCATTCTTCACGAACAGCCGTCAGATAAATCAACAGCAGCCGTCGCAGTACCGGCAGCACCTGCAGTAACGTCCCCAGCGAGGCCGTCTGCGTTAACAAAGTCAGTGGCAAACACAACGTCCGGGGCGGCGTTCTCAAAGTATAGGCGGTTGCGCAAGCACGAAAAGCTGGGTGAGGGGGGCCAGGGGGTTGTGTTTAAGTGTACGACATTGGACAATGAGGTGGTGGTTTCAAAAGAGATGACGTTTGATGATAACGAGCGGGCAGTTTTTGAGGCGCGTCTGGTGCAGGCTCAAAAGATGCGGAAGCTTTCCCACAATCATCTCATACGGTACTTGGATGTGATTGGTACTGAGAACCCGTTGAAGATTTGTGTTATCATGCCCTACTACTCAGAGGGTGACCTGTCCAAGTACATCAGCCGGCAGCGTGGACCCATTGAGGAGAGCACGCTTTGTTCTATTATTCTCCAGCTAGCACATGCTTTGGACTACCTACATTCCCAGAATCCACCACTAGCACACTGTGACGTCAAACCAGACAATATACTTCTTCTCAACTGCGAACAAGTACTTCTTATGGATTTGGATCTGTGTCATTCTTGCGGGGTTCAGGCGAGTCTGACGATGCGAGTACTCCACGAGTGCAAAAGGAACTCCCCGACGTTTGAGTATCGTGCACCAGAGCTGGTGAGCTCAGCGGGATCCACAGAGTCTGATATATTTAGTTTAGGTGTTGTCGCGTTTGTTTTGGCGACGCTACCCGAGTTTGCCATGCTCCGCAACAGCAAGGGCGCGATGATGGTGCTGAATCACTCGGACTGGACGCCAGACTCCTTGGCAAGGGCTGTTCGTCGTGCTATTCGAGAACACACAGGCGACTACCCGGAGGAGTTGATTGATCTCATTATTGAGATGCTGCGCCACCAACCAGCGTCTCGGCCCCGGGCGTCTGAGGTCAAGGAGCGGCTTACGACAGCGATGGCAAACCGTCTTTTGAGATGAGATCGATGCGGGCTGGAGTGCGTTCGCTTCTTCTTTTGTTTGCTCGCCTTTTCGTTTGCGCCGTTTGCGTGCGTCAGTATTGTCGCTCGCTCCAATTCTTGACATCGTCTTCCTGCCTGCTACCACAGTTCTTTTTTTTTTGTTGTTGATTTTGTTGCTGCTTTCCTTCACAGTTCCCTACCTTCAGATGCCGGCACATGTACCGATGAAAGGCGAAGGCATTGTGTGCCTTTTTGCGACTAGTGGGGGAGGGGTGAGACACTTGCGTGCAGTGACGGTGACCTGGCGCAGCGAAAATTATGAATGCCACACAAGGGCAAAGTGGAGGGGGGGGGGGAGGGAGACGTCGCAGTCCGCTGCGGCTGCCATCGGGGGAGAGGGGGCAGGCGCACCGATGGGCAGCCAAAATATGAACCCCCATCCCATCCACCCGCTTTTTTTTTTTTTAATTTGGCTCTCAGCTCCGCTCGGCGGGGGGCTCTGGCTTGCTTATTTTTTATTTCTTTTTTTCTGCTCTGCTCGCAATGTCCTCGTTGCCCGGTGTATGCAGAAGGGCGTGCGCGCTGGAAGGGGAACCAGCAATAACCACAGAAACGAAAGGAGACCGGCCGCGAGTATTCCCTCTGGTGGTGCGACACTAGCGGGGGAGGCAGCTCGGAGGGCGGGGCACTAGAGCCACGGAGGGAAGGACAAGAGCGTGCCCCATTCATTCCTGACGCCTTCTAGCGGCGTGCGTGCGTGCGTGCGTGTGCATTTCTGGAAAACGTAAACGTTAAGGCAGGCAGACAAAAGGGGTCGACAGCTCCTTTCCTTATATATATATATACGGACAGAACACGAGGGCGAGAGGTGCGTTCGGACAGACGTGTTAATCTGGTTATTGAAGTCGGCTGCAATGTCTGTAGATTTCACGTCAAAGGCCGTAGATCTCTTGAAGCGTGCGACCACGCTTGACGAGTCAAAGGAGTATGAGGAGGCATACCGCTGGTACATGGACTCCATTGAGGTTTTCATGACGGCCATCAAGTACGAAAATAAGAATCCAACAAAGAAGGAAATGCTAAAGAATAAGGTGCGCCAAGTGATGGAGCGGGCGAAGATGATCAAGGAGTACTTGGATGGGTCCAAGGAGGGCGACAACGGTGGTGCCGGAAATGCGGGCAGCACGGCGCAGAAGACGGCCTCCGCAAGTAAGAAGGCCAAGGAGGAGGAGGAAGACAAGCAACGCATGAGGAATGCGTTGGGAGGCGCAATTGTGCGGGTGAAACCCAACGTGAAGTGGTCGGAGATTGCCGGCCTGGAGGGGGCGAAGGAGGCACTTAAGGAGGCAGTCATTCTTCCGGTTCGTTTTCCGCAGCTCTTCACTGGCAATCGTAAGCCGTGGAAGGGGATTCTCATGTACGGTCCGCCTGGCACGGGCAAGTCGTTCCTAGCAAAGGCAGTGGCAACCGAGGCAGACGGCACCTTCTTGAGCGTTAGCAGCGCGGATCTGATGTCCCGGTGGTTGGGTGACTCGGAAAAGTTGGTGAGAAACCTGTTCGAAATGGCCCGGGAAGCGTGGAAAACCGACGGGAAACCAGCTATTATATTTATTGACGAGATAGATTCCATGTGCTCCGCCCGCTCGGATAATGAAAACGATGCCCTGCGTCGCATTAAAACCGAGTTTCTGGTGCAGATGCAGGGCGTGGGTCACGAGGATGACGGCGTGCTGGTGCTGGGTGCCACCAACATCCCATGGACGCTTGACAGTGCTGTCCGTCGCCGTTTCGAGCGTCGTATTTACATCCCGCTTCCAGACCTCCAGGCGCGGTATCAGATGTTTAAAATTCACATTGGGGACACCCCCCACACGCTAACGGAGAAGGATTGGTACGAGTTGGCGCAGATGACGGACAAGTACAGCGGCAGCGACATCAACATTGTTGTGCGCAACGCCATGATGGAGTGTATTAGGTCCGTACAGGTGGCAACTCACTTCAAGCGTGTGACGGGACCAGATGTGAAGGATCCCACACGGACGACGAACAACCGTCTGGTGCCGTGTTCGCCCGGGGACCCAGAGGGATTTATGATGACGGCGCAGGAGCTGACGGAGCCGGAGCTGCTGATGCCGCTCCCAGTGACCATGCAGGACTTCATCAAGGCTCTGCGCACCGCCCGCCCCTCTGTTTCGGATTCTGACATAACGCAGCACATCAAGTTCACCGAAGACTTTGGACAGGAGGGTTAGCACTACGCTGAAGAAGGTCAAAAAAAAAAAAAGGAACGCTTCTCATCTTTTTTTCTTTTTTTTCCTTTCTCTTCTCTTCCT